CAATGAAACAAGATTTGAGAAGAGCTCTTCATACTTTTAAAGCTCGTTTGATGGCCGATCTAACTATGTGTGAATCAAAGGTCTAGTCCTTCACGCAAGAAACGATTAGGGTTTGTAAACAAAAGTCCTCGAGAATGGACCTTTAAACGTTTGGGACACTACCAAACTTCCACTTTTAGCTTTAAACGCTTAAAAATATCGTGTATAGATTCAGTTTGGAACAAGAAACCCAAATATAGGAAGCTCGAGTCTCAAAATCATGAAGGGAAAATACTATGAAACTTCTTTCGAAAATGAAAACTTTTAGACTTTTTGAAGTGTGTTCAGTATTTTGACATTTTCTCCACGAAGAAAAGGGTTTTAAGGGCTGGGAAGGTGATATGCGAGACCACAGTCAAACGACAAATTAGAATATGTATAATAAAGTCAAAAACGAATTTCACTCGAAGTCTGCTTTACGTGCATCTTATGAAAAGAGAAACGAATCTGTCCTTCTGTCTCATTCTCTTCCGATTTGAGTTTTCTTTGTGTAATTGACATTAAGATTTAGTTACAACCAAGCTGTCGTTACGTTACGATCAAAGTTCTGTCTGTACACTAACTCATAAGAATATCTCCACTACGCTTCTTTCTTTTATTTTGAATGTACAGCAACATTTGGTGAATTCCCTCAACTCGAAACGAGCAAATAGAAACCGTTTTTCGTAGAGAAAATCATTGACTACACGCAATAATTTGCCCGTAATGAACTGGCAAAAATCCGATCCAGTTCCACATCTGCAGTGAATGTGAGGTTGAATATATTTATGTATACTCGCCCGTCAAGACAATCAATCATCATGCTGACGATCGCGACGATATGGCAGAAGCAGGAAAGGATTGACTATGTTTTTATATTTTTTCTTTCGAGATTATGAGACCAAACCAAAAATAACTACAGTGAGAAGCCTTTATCACAGTGACGTTACAGAATACATGAGTAAAGCGATGTTGTCTCAGGTCGTGTCTCGGGAACTCTGGTAACAATTCTGAGAGGTCGATAACACGTAAATGATGATGTGGACGATGTGACATGTATATTTTGCCGTCATCAACAAAACAGAATGATTTAGCTATTGTTTCTCTTTCGCGAACTTTTTTCTTCTCAAGACTGAGACTTCATTTAATCAAAATGCAATATCTTCATACTATTATTTACCTCTTTATCATTCTCTTCTTCTTCATCTTCATCCTAGGAAAAGAAAACAAAGAATATGTAGAAGAAAAAATAACCTCAAGACGAGTTGTTCAGTAAACAAAGAAAATGAGAAGACAACTTACATTTGATGTCGAACATGTAATGCACCATGGACAGACAACTTCACCCTTTTCATCAATCACTGGTTCAATCAATGGTTGCCATGCAAGTAAATTATCATTGAATAAAGCTAGTTCAACATAAATTTTCGAGAAAATATTTATCTGAATAAAGAAAAAACCAAACATTGAATAGTATTCAGTTCAACTCCAAGAGACATACATTGGTAGACCAATTTTTCACTTCGACTAATAGATCCGAGAAACACATGGCAATTATTGGTTTCGTCGATGAACCTGAGCCAAGTTCAAGTTTAACTTCGATTACTTTCAAATTGATGATAAGCTAAAGATCAACATATTAATTTCGATTACATTCATAACTTTGTCAGTTTTTTTCTTAATACTTCTTGAGTAAGAATTTTTTTCATATGAATTTTCTTGTCTTTTTCCTTCTGTTTATTTGCTTCTTCAATGGCTGCTTTCTTATGTGAAGGAGCACCAGTTATTTCTTCTAAAATATCTTTCTGTTCCAACATTTCTTGTTTCTCTTCATTATCTATAAAACAAGAGAAAAAAAAGAGTCGAATATATTAGAAAATAAAAACTAGTTTTGAACAAACCTTCGATAAACCAAAGGCTTGCATCTTTGAACGGTTTTGGATTAAATATTGATTTATCATTGATTTTCTCCGTTTCATTTTGAACAGTCGACTAATGAAAAAAGATTTATATTTTATGAAGAAACAATACAAATTCCATTACTTGAAGTTTGCCTAGTGAATTTGTAACACTACGA